CTATGCTTAATTTGTCACATTCACAAACTCATTCATACACTGTGACTGATGGCAGAGGCTGCCATGCAAGGTGCCAACCTGCTCAACTGGAATGATACAGCGCTTCCTATCCAAACCGCTCATGATGATACTACGCTCATACAAACACTCTGACAGCACAGTCGTATGGAGCAATTTGGGGTTCGTTGTCTTGACAAGGACGCTTTGACTGAACTGAGGGAGCCGAGAATCAAACCAGTGACCCTCTGATATCTAGACCACCTGCTCCAGCACATGCACCACAGTAGAAACATACAAGCACAAAACTAAAATGATGGTGTTAAAACTAGATTTTGGGGCCTTCTTCAAGATATGTCCTCAAGATCAGCTATTCAGGCTGCAGCCTTTCCTGTAGTACTTTAATGTGTATCCCTTCTATGAGATGACAGTACCATCAGTGGCCCCAAGACAATTTGAGTTTGAGACCACTGCTTTAAGGAGTAAAAGTAAATGCTTTTTGTGAGACATTAAAATGGTTGAGTGAACTTTTGGTAGTTTATTTTATAATTCTTTTTTATCTGACTTACTCTCAAACCTTCAATAGATTTGGCTGCGGATGTGTAGAGTTTACATAAAGATACAAGTGAACTGACAACACATGGTGAGAGATTCAGTATTGGTTGATATTGAGAGTGGCTCCAGAAGAAAGTGCAGCTCAGCAGTTTGTAGCTCATTATGAGATAAAAGTGATGCCCCTTAGTAATCAGCACGTGACGCAGGAGGCTATAGCATGAAATCTGCAAGGACTTTCAAGTGAAAAAATATGATGCATTTTTCTGGAGTATATCCCAGGCTGTAGCTCAGATTGCCTGCAGCTCCACAGAGCAGCGAGAACACTGACATCTAGTGCTGCACAGGACACAAGTCAGGAGGGGGGGATTACTGGAAAACCAACAACTCAGCATCATGAGGTGGTAGCTGCCAGCTGTATAAAATACCTGGCCACCCTAGTTTGGTGTCAAATGCTGTCAAATATAACACATTAATTTAAAAATAGTGTGTTAAATTAATTGAATTATCTATTATGGCCACACGTTAAACTAAGTGATAAGCTTAAAGCTGCAGTAGGTAACTTTTATAAAAAATTACTTTTTGTCATATTTGCTGAAGCTTTCACTATATCCTAACAGTAATACATAAAACAGATAATCTGTTAAAAATGTTTGCTTCCTAGTGCTCCTAATGGCTTTTGCAAGAATCCACCAGGCCTGGATGAAAACAACCAATCAAAGCTAAGAAAAACATAAACACGCGGTATTTGATGCCCTGAGAATGATGCTAAACAATCAGCTATCTTTCTTGGCTCTGATTGGTTGTTTGTGTCTAGGCCCAGTGGATTTTTGCAAATATCATTAGGACCACTGGTACAAGCCAAAGGAACCTAATTTTCTTCACAGATTATCTGTCTCATGTACTACTGTCAGGATATAGTGAAAGTTTAAGAAAATATGACAAACATTATTTTATATAAAATTTTCTATTGTAGCTTTAAATTCAATGAAAAAAGAAGCATTTGGAAAAATGTCTGAAGATTTGGAAATAAGACCATTTATTGATTTATAACGCCAGCTCCAGATATTTCTATTCAGTGCTTTATTAATGTGCCACTATGACTATTCTAAGAAAAACAAATTATTGGGTTTATTTTACTGTTGTGTTTACTATTGGAAAGATATTATTAAAACCTTTTGATTTTCTGGTCAGGATTAATTTATTTAGCCAATTTTCTGTGACATTTATTCAACAATAACCCCTCAAGGACGAATATGGGCATACTGTAATAATATGGAGGGGGGGGGGTGTATATGTATAAAAATGTATATGGGACAAGGAATAAAAAATAAAATCCTAGTCTTAAAAAATCTGTAGTTATTACACTGAGGAGATTACATATCACCAATCCGATAGCTCCATGTTCCTGAAGCAGAGTGTAAATGTAACATAAACATTCTTTCACAAAATAAATTTTTACAAATTTGATTTCCATTTTAATCAGTTATATATATTATATTTTATATTTTACAGACAGAATATCATTGCAAAAAAGGATGCTATTGGCTTTTTTTTTAATCTTTAAATCCTCTAGTAAGAGTAAGAGGGACTTACAAAATTGTGCCTATTTCAAAAGGTCTATGACAGTGGGTTATGGCACAAGTACATGATCAATATCACAAGGTAAATGGTTTTTCTATTGTTTTTTTTTATTTATTTACTTTTGGGCATTATCAACATATTCACTGAGCCACTAGTCAAGTCAACATACAAAGACACGAAGTCATGTCAGTGGAAACCATGATACCAGCCTTGTGTGACAAGCTCCTTATAAACATCCACTTGCACAAGACATAACATTGTGTTGTATAATGCAGAAAAAGAGGCTCCTTTCACATTTGAATTTTCACATATGAAATAAAGAATTAGGGTGGGAAATCATTACATGTGACAACAATATCACATGTGAAAGTGCAATTTGGTCTGCCATCCATCACCCAGAGGACGACTGAGGTGAGGATGTTCAGTTGCTGGGTGATTAAAATTTCATGTGATTAAATTTCACGTCACTTAATCAGGGGCGTAAATATGGACGGCACAGACAGCGCACTGAGGCCCTTAGACAGCACGGGCCATCATTGTCCCCTCGGAAATACGCCTGCGTTCAAAGTTAAATTATACTCGAAAAGGCAAACCCATCTCGAACCAACAACCTTCCGATTAGTGGACGACCCGCTCTACCTCTGAGCCACAGAGATTTTACTTCTTAATGATATGTCAGTTTTAACTCTGACGTACTTACGGAGACAAATAATGTTACATTAAAGAGTTTCGCCCTTTACTGGCAACTACCACATGTGCTTAATATTTCACAGTGGATTAATACTTATATAAGCATATACTTTAATTAATATGAAGCTTTCAGTTACCCAAATTCATGACTGGGTAATACGTATGTTGATGTTGTCTAATGTCAAGTCTATATTTGAGCCCAACACTGGCTCGAGATAGGGGCACGTTAGCTTGGAAAAAGGGGGGTTAAGTGAGAGAGCCACTTAATTCTACACGCTGGACCTTTAATTGGCCCCTTAATGGGTTTGATTTGAAAAGCTATTCCTTTCCATGTGCTATTTCTCGAAGGTGATATTCCACATGTGAATTTTCTGAAAGGGGACTTGAAGCAGAATTGATGGCTTCCCAGCAGCTCTGTGCACAACAGGAGTGGGTCCATGTTCTGCAGGTAACACAGGCCTAAAGAGAGTGAGGTAGAACTCTGCAAATTGCTGAACAGATGAAATGCATCTTTAATGAGAGGATTATTAAAATGCATGATATTGGAAGGCCCGCTCTTTATTGTTTTCAATTTTATTGTGTTTCCAGTACATTTGGTATTATAATAATTGGCCCCAAAACAGACCGGTGCAAATTAGGCCTCTTTTGCCTCGAGGCGATGGAGGAATGAACAGAACAGGAGACCACAGACAAAGGTTCCTTTTTTTTTTTTTAAACCTGAGGATAGGAAGAAAAAATAGTAAAAGTGTCAATAATCTACACAAGTGGAGGAACTCTCCCAAGGTTCTCGAGCCCTTCGGTGTATTATTCATACCAGCTATTGCCAGAGGACTCATAATTGACCTCTGCACTTTTTAAAAAAACTTCATGAGATGAAAGAATGTGATGTTTTGTAATTCAACTTTTGAGTCCCCCTCTCCGCAATCCAATAGTATTGAATTGCAGGTCATGAATTATTCAACGCATAGGAGGCAAGGCTACCTTAGCTGGAAGATGTTATATGAAACAAGGTTGCAAGACCAAGAGATATCAAATGAGTTGGCTCTAAAAGAAAAAAACAACAAATAAAAGTCACATCAAAATAAATAGGAGCACTGTTGGACAGAAATCTCTTAAGTGAATACAGTGGAAATAATACTGTCAAATAGCACTTTTTCCGCAGGATGCTGACACTTGATGTGAAAAAATCTCTTAAGTGTTTATTGATGTGGAATCCCATTATCTACCATTGCTGAAGGGGGGCAAAGGCTTCATTTATGTTTTAATGCTTCAGTGCCTGGCTCTTCACTTAACTTCTGAGTTGTAATTAACAATGTTTTTGTCAAATGGTAATCATGGCGTCAAGTGTTGACACTTGAGTCATGCTTCTGGGCTGCTCATAAGTACATAATTGTATCAGTTAGACTTAAATAGTAAAAACTGTAATGTGTTTCTGTTTTTTCTGCAATTGTTTGAGAACTCTTTAGTCTCATGGCACTGCACGAGAAGGCTGAACTCTTAAAATGAGGATAATTATTTAAAGTATACCTCTGTCCTATCTTACAAACCTTTCCCAACTTTATCCAGATTTAATGTTTTGTATATCTGGGGTTGAGTAGCATGGACATTCAATTGCAATATTTTGAACAAACAAAAAATCCAGAAGAAGAACAACACAAAACAAGAGTGTTTTTTGGAGTTGTTCAAAAGCAATTAGCTGTAATTGCCCATTGTCTACCTTTGGTAGCC